ACACTCAATTTTGATGGTAAACGCCCAAATTTGAGTGTTAACACCAAAAAATGAGGGTTTTTTTTCGTAAGGGTTGTTTGCATAATTACATTATAAGCACCAATTTGAATAACAATCATTATTTTCATGAAGGAATGATAGATCAAGAAGTGGATGGTCAAATAATAGCAGGGAATTGGCGAAGAGAAATAAGAGAAAATGGCTTTATTAATCCTTTAGGGCGAGTTGGAGCTAACATTGGTACAGTTGCTGCTGCAAGACAACGAGATACATTAGCTAGATATTTTGTTTCCGATGAAGGAAGCATTCCGTGGCAATTGGAATATATATGAAATTGTAATTACTTTATTTCACAATAAATTTTTCTTTATTAATAATCGCCTTTATTAATAACTCACAACGAAAAGATATTCTAAACAAAATAACATTTGCACTACTTTAACTTTAATTAAACTTAAAATATTAATTATAAAGAAAACGTTAAATATATTATATTATATTTATATAATACTTTGGAATTGATTTACTGCAACAGTATGCAAATAATGCAACACAAAACAAAGAAATACTCTAGACACATTCAGAAGATAGATCGAATAGTAGCATATTCAAATAGATACAATAGATTGTTAAACGCATTATTGGAATGTGCTACTATTCGATCTCTCCTACAGTACTTATTATTATTATCTATTATCACAAAATGTGGGTTAATTACGTTATTGCAGCAAATCGTCAATTGCAGTCTTGCATATATCACATATAGAACATAAAATATTGAATAACATCTTAAGAGATATTTTAAACATAAAACATAAAATATTGAATAACATCTTAAGGGATATTTTAAACATAAAACATAAAATATTGAATAACATCTTAAGGGATATTTTAAACTCAAACTTAAGAATATTTCAAAAATATACGTTAAAAAAATATGAAGAGTTTTTTTAACAGACTTATATGAAATATAAAAATCAATAACACAAATGTACTAATTGTAATACTCTGTTAAATACTGCTTCTTTTATATAAAAAAAATTTTATCAATATCAAAGACTAGCTTCTTATATTGTTTTTTCTAGTTTTAATAAAATTGATCGCGATTTAACGGAAGCAAATAAAGAAATATTGCCTTTATTTATTGCATTACTGCCTTTCCTCGTACTTTTGAATGATTTGAAGAACTTCTATAACACATTGTGTTTTATTTTTTGGTGGAATGTATTTCAATCCTTCTTCTATGGCGAACATGTAACCATCTGCTTTTTCATGTTTTTGTTTGTACATTTGAGATGATACTGCTTTTGCAGCTGCAGATATTTCTTTACTTGCTTGCATCAAATCGCGATCAATTTCATCATCTTTGTTCTTTCGGCGTTTTGCAAATTCATCCATTTCAGGTACTATTTTTTTATTTTGTTTAAATGCAGGTGGACTTTTCAAGTTTGAATTAAAATTAGTACTTGTCTCCGACAATTGTATACAGCTGCTAGTGCTGCTGCAGCTCGAAAATGTACTAATAGGCCTTTTTAAGTTCTCACTATCAATTGGCATAACGTTTTCCTCATTTTCAATATTTGATGATGATAAGTTCTCTGGAAATATTTATAATACCCAATCAATATTAAAAATAATTACATAAATAACAATAAATTATAATTAAAAATAATTCTCCTTTTCATTAATGTATACCTTCTATTGGTTGAAATGATTCACAATAATCATCTACTGACGAAACCAAATTAGAATGCCCGTATGTCTGTAGCACTGAAGAAATATTTGTTGGTGTAGTACTTGTTTTCAATGAGTTTTGTAACTCATTTGGTTGAACAAATGATGTTTTTGTTCTGTAAATAAAATTATAAAAGAAATAGTAACACATAAATTTCGAAAATAAGTACTAAAATAAATAAATAAATAATATTATAACAATAAATATAATTAATAATAAGCAATTAAGAGTCCACGTTGTTGATGCGTAAAGTCCTTCTATTTCAATCCAAAAGATACATTAATCGTACATTTCGGCTTAATTCAGGCCATTTTCAGTGAACGCCCAATGCCCAAGCATAAAATATTCCGCAAATATCCGTCGTTTCCTTTGTCTTATATGGTATGAATTCCAAATTGGGAATTGGAGGAGACTCAAACCATATGAGACAAAGCAAGCAACAAATATTTGCGGAATATTTTATGCTTGGGCGTTAAGGGTCTGATTGCTAAAGACGGTCTCAAGCAGAAGACAGCATACGATTAACGTATTTTTTGGATTGAAATAAAAAGATTTTACACACCAACAATGGTGTGGACTTTTAATTGCCTATCATTAAATACTTACTGTTATTTGAAAGACATAACTGTTTATTATTTTAAATAATATAACAACTAACCGTCTGTGAGCTATATGAGGCACTAAAAATAACATATTTCTGTATAAGTCCCATTCCTTAGTTGGCTCATATCCAGAACCTGACGGTGGTAATTTTTGACGTCTATTTTCTCTACTGAACATGTCTCTTAAAGATGACCATCGTTTTTCGATTTCTTCAGCTATAAAGCAAAATATGTATTATAAAATGATTTATGTATATGTCATAGATAATAATTTACAAAATAAATAATTACCTGACATATTTACGCCATAAAAACTTGTCAAATTTTCGGAAATTTTTTGCCACACCTCCTTTTTTTTTACATTTTTGAAGTCCACATTACGTTTGTCGTATATGCAATAATTTTCGCGAACAATATCAATTATAATTTCGTCCGTACTTAATGATTCCATTATAAAATATACCAAACATGTAACCAAGTAATATGAAGTAAACCAAGTAAAATGAAGGTTATGTCACGTATTTCGAGTCACAAGTCGCACAGTCGTAAGTCGTAAGGATCTAAAAAGATGGGACTTGACCATCTTTCATTCCGACATCGACAACCGACTCACGACAGCTTTATACGACAGCCGACAATGCTATGCGCATGCGTCCGACATCCGACAACGACATACGACGTATTGTAGAACGGGCCTTAGGCTTAGAAACGGAGACTACATATTTTCATCGTTACATTCATGTACATTTATTACTGATATATTGATGCTATCAATCGTTCTATCAAGCGACGCGGTAGCGGCGCGACGCCAAGTACATAAAAAAGAGCGATGACCGCGTGACTGCGTGGTCTGCGTGTTACTTCATTGCGCAAATGTCGTGACGCTACCATAGCTTTATCTGAAATTCTTATGTCAAACATACTTTCAATTCAAATATCTCAGAAATTATAACAGCAATACAAAATCTAACGACATTTTCTGATATAATGTCGATACGAACTTTCGATTGCGACCATTGCGAATAA